AAATGCATTGGGCATTGGCGAAGGAAATTGTCGCAAGGAAACCGGCTTAAGAAATATTAAAATAAAAATAAAAACTAGTGAAATATGTCTATCACTACTGATAGGTATGTATGTGAATTTTACCCTAAATTGTGTACATATGGTGTACGTATTCAACAAAACATTTTGTATTATCTTGCATTCTAACTAGCCTATTAATAAGTCATTAAAGATTAAATTTCAATATTGTGTCATATTATAAACCATGTTTAATATATCACGTAAAATTTACCACATTCTGACCAGAGCTCGCCTTTCGATAGTGTAACAATACTGTCAGCGTGCTTTATATGACATCACTTAGTCGAATGGTTTCGCTTTGTTGCTCGTAAATGTATGATCATTTTCGGTCCATTTTAAAACCGTCCAATGATTTATTGTCCGTTTCTAATTACCCGTTTGTTCCGTTAATCGGGGCTGGTGATTATTCGACCACGAAAATATGAAACAGCATAAAGTGGCACAGCGTTGACAAAGAACCATATAAATAAATCACTCTTTTCCTCAAGATTCATTAATGACCGCAATCACTCTTAAATCAAGCGTTGTGTCATCGAAATCAATCTATCATGTGTCAAAAGCACTGTTGGCAAAATGAGTTATTGCTCAACATCAAAAAGGACGCGCGCAGTGACATGCGAATTCGACACTCTTCAGGTTTGGGATTTTTAGAGGTGCAAAAAGTAAACTAAAAGGCGATGCATTATTTTGCGTAACAAGAACAGTGTGGCACTGCAATGAATTACGCTAGTCCGTTTCAAAAACCAAGTTAGGTATTAATTACACGATGGTAATGAATACATCGTAATTATACAATGCCTCGAGCTTATCTTTTTAGTTTGACGGATGGCTACTTGATCGGTATGTCGTGGCCTACAGCATCGGCAGCCGAACTTTTTAACCAATATAAATAGGCGGAAAAATTTGGATGTTTTCAATTCTTTTTTTATCTGAGAATGTGGCAAGCGGTTACCTTGTAATAAAGTGGCCCCCGGCTACCTCACCCACCGGACGAAACGCAGAAGTATTACACTTCCACTAAACGCCGGTCTTCTGTGAGGTCGGGGTAAGTACCCAGTCGACCTACCCACCCGTGCAACAGCCGAAACTGTTGCGTGGCCCTACCACAGTATATTCGAAGCCATGAAATATTATCATTACTAAAGCGAGTTACAAAATGAGCCACTACTTACACGTATTTGAATAAAAAACAAGCACAATTTGTATCCATTACGTTATGTGAAGAATGAGAACAAACTTAAACAAGCGTTGAAACTGTATGGAAGAGCTGTCATTAACGCAATAACCTAAAACCGGACCACTTAAATAACGACCTCCGAATTCCCAAATTAATTTCGCACGAGGTAACAATTCGATTAACCCAACGAAAATAGATCGCGATAAATCTTTTAAAGTCATATACCGAGTGTACCCAACGTGTTATCTTTAGAAAGTTAATCGTACGGACCGAGCGAGACTCGCCGCCCGACTTTACCCGCGGCGTTACTTGCGTCGATCGCGACCGAATCTCCTAATTTAAGCCGGTGCCTGATTAATTGCAAATTAAACTCCCCACCGCGGTGGTGCACCAGTCGGTATGACTTTATTGAATTTCATGGCCCGAGATTTATGCCCTGGACCGCGAATTTATTATGATCGGACACGGACCGAGGAAAATTACAGACGGATTAATATATTATGCGGAAATTCAACGGTGGTGAATCGCTTTATAAGTATCCTTAGCCCCCGGACTTTGCCCGAAGGCGGAGAATTAATATTTAAAAAAAGAGCAACGTTTCTTTTATGCAATCAAACCTTTGGATGATTTTTAATTTTATTGATTATTTATAGGTTTCACTGACAATTTTTCACATAAAAAAATTAAAATAAAAATATACTTCCATACTTATGTTTTCAACAACACTATAATCCTGTTGTATTAACATGTAAACAATTAGTGAGTTGAATGTTCAAGATGTTATGGACAACAAATCACTATGTATTAAAATGCTCTTATTTTATAAATGTCCATTTATAAATGGCCCACATTATTAAGAGGTGGCAATGCATCTGCTACCCTTCGGGTGTTGCAAATGTTCACGGGCAGGTGGTTATCACTTAACATCAGGTGAACCGCCAGCTCGTTTACCACTTTTTAACATAAAAAAATGTTTGATGTTTATTACAATTATTTTTCATTGAAAGAAAAAGAAAATGTATTACATTAAAAATATGTATAGTTTTACAATTAATACATAGGTTAATTAAAACAAAAGATGTTAAGTCCCGTCTATACTTTTCACACTCTGCAGACTCCGATAAAGGGCTGGCAAATCAAGTCTCAAAATAATTATAAAACTCATATATATATATTCACAGTTATGAATTTATTCCACTACGCAATTTTCATTTTGTACATAAGTAATTTTTGAATTTGAACACTTTTCGCAATTGCCTTTACTTCTCACTTTTTCAAATTTTAACAATACACTTTTCAAATTTTTAAAATCTGGTCGGTCGTGTTTCTAACAAAACGATGTGTCATTTGACATTTCTCGGTGTTGCTAGGTGCGAAGGTTGATTCCTAACAATGTATCCCACATTGTTAGGAATCAACCTTCGCTCAGGTTCAGCAGTGGACTCAAACAGGCTGAAATGATGATGATGTTATGATGCTTTTTTACATGAAAATTTGGCTGCTCAGTTAGGTTAGGTTAGGTTAGGTTAGGTTTCATGTGAACATCTACGTGCGTTACTAACCATTAAAAAAATGCAGTCTAATTGAGAACCTCCTCCTTTTTCGAAGTCAGTTAAAAGAGGGCGTCGGTAGCCTAAGGAAACCCGAAATTATAATACTTCCGGTTCACGCGGGAGACCGTGGTACTTCCCACATGTCCACTCCTGTCACTGCCACGCAGCAGATTCTGTTGTTGCACATTTTATTTTAGATAAATTTCTTTTCTTATTTTTTTTAAATAAAATAAAGGAAAAAAGTTGTACACGGACGCGAATCGTAAGGGATATAAAAAGAAAAAGATCGTGCAGTGGCACTATTTAAAAAGGGCTACGTAGCGCGTTTAACGTTTCGCACAATTAATTCACCTGAATAAAATCAAATAATTTAATCTTAGCCATTATAAGCTCAAAGATGGTATAAAAATTCTCTCCTTATTTATTAAATTAACTTGGCACTTAGTAACTTACTACAGAACTTACGATAAATTTTTTGGTAAATAAAAAAAAAACAAATAATAACTGTCCAGTTAGGAATTATTATAGTTAAGTCGCAGAACGAATTGTCTTAAACATAGGTACATATCTGGGAAAATTAATATTGCTATTCGATTGTTTGCTAATGTGCACCGAAATAAAAGCATACGATGTGCATGTACATTTGGCGCATGTAAATAAAGGTAGACGCAAATGAAGTCCATCGAAAATCACCTTTATTACACTTCCTCGTCATAAATCTCGTCGCGTAATTATATCGCCTGCGCCATTATGTATTCCTTTTTTTTTCTGTCATAGCAGAACCATTTGTTACTGGTTATATGACTCGTTTGCTTGTTTGAAAATACGCAAGACACGGGTAATAAAATTAAAATTTCTTATTACTCTTTTTTAATTCGAACGATTTATTTACTGAAATGGTGTAAGGCATAAAATCGGATGGTGAATAATTAAAACTAAATTAATAATCACATAGCTGTTTTGATTCTCCATTCATTTTTGTGTCTAGTATGGTCTGTATTTAATGTTATCATAAGTGTCTAGGAGTTCGTTTTGATATTCCATATTCATGAATTTATGTTGCGAGTAAGGATAAAGAGAAATTATGACGGTGCCAAGAAATAGCATACCGATAAACAAGAAAAAATCACAACGGCGTTGACTGCATACCGTTGTAATGGTTGTTGTCAGTTACAACATCCCGTTCAGGGAAATCTGGCTCAGTGGTAAGAACAAGAAGTTTACTTTGGAGCCTAGCCACCTGTTGCTAAAGCTCTGATTCTCCGTATTAATTCGGATACAAGTAACTAGCGGGAAAATTGATTCACAAATATAGCATAACCCCACGTTACCTAAGCACCAACTGTACGAAATGTTTTGATACATATCCGTTTGAATGTATTTAAACAGTACTGTTCTGTAATACCTAATGTGTAGATTGTTACCTAAACACGTTGAATATAAAAACTATATGTTGAATCTATGAGGAAGCGTGAAAATTGTTAAGCCTTACAGTTTAACCGACAGATTTTAAATTGATAATTATCTGTTGTATAATTCTTAATAGCTGTGTCTACCAATTCGTGATTAGTTAAAAGTAATCATGAAATGAAAGTAAAATAAATCCGAATTTAATTTTAGTAGAGAATGTTTTTAAAAAAAATGGTAAATAGTACTTCACACATAACTAAAAAGTAGACTATGTTTGGTAAGTCGCATGTAAATATAATTTAAGTGAGAGTAGATTATTTATTACCATGTCGTTTTTTTAATTCAAAGACCTACAACACTTTACTTATACACGATACCGCATTCGTTCTTGACTAAAGTGTAAAGTTTATTTCACTAAAAAGTTGTGTTTTCTAATGTTTAATAAGTACTTTATCTGTTAAGATATCTTTAAACTAAGTAAATCTGCTGTAATATTGCCTTACATTCAATATTCATTTTATACTACAACATGTATGGGACACAACTTAAAACGATTTTTCTTAATTACCACTACAAAAACACGAAGGCGACACAGATTAATGTCAATTTTTATTTAAAAATCACCTGTTCAACACAACGTTCAAAAAGCCGACGACATAAATTAAGTTGTTACATTACAAAAAAAAATCATTACGCATTTTCCGGATGCTGATGCAAAAGGCAACGTTGAATAAATTTATGTACGGTTGCGGACGGGGATATCTCTGCGCATTTTCTGGTTGGTACTTATTTGGACTCACCACCAAGAGTCGGTGATGGGGGCGAGCAGCAGCAAGCACGCGGCAATGAGCACAGGACGCATCTCTCGGCGGACATCACTGCCCCAGCACCCCGCCCCGGACCCCAAGCCTTACTAAGCGCATGCCAGGCCAGTGCGGGCCAGTCGACCTCGAATGCTCCTCGAATCGTGCTCTCGCGAGAGACGAGACTTCGCGCCGTGCGGGAGATCCCTGTCGGCAGGAGCTCCCAGAGCGGACTGACGTTCACCTGTGCGCCCACCCCGGCGCACGCGCGGCGCAAAACGTTTTTCGCGCTATTTTGACTAACGTCCAGCGGATTAGGCTTCGCGCTTAGAGACGAAGCCTGACACACCGAATCCGTAGTCCGGACGAGCGGCGTGGGCGCAATATAAATTAACGCTTTCGACGCGGCAGACAAACTTGGCCCCCGGTAATCAAGTCTCGGGTTATAATTAAATACGCGACCCGTTCGTCTCACGAGTGGCTCATGTTTGTAATACCAATTTAAAACTGATCGAACTTCTAAATTCCGTTAATTATCAGTCCCGCGGCTATATTTGGCATTTATGTCGGGGCCGTGGGCCAAAATTGGTTCGGTACAAAAGTTTCGTGTGCATAGCTGTGTGCGTGGACGTGGTCCTGCAAGCGATAATGTTTTTAAACATGTTGGAATAAGCTCTTTAGTCCTGATGAAGCGGAGGAGTCGTTTGACGGTTCAATGAATGGCGTGCAGGGACGCGCATAGTTTTCATGCCGACTCCACGGCTTTCGATACGGCAATACTAATACTAAACAGACTCTCTCTGATTGGGAGCGAGTGATGGACAGTGAGGCATACGGTACACATCTATTATTAGAACACACGTGCGAAACGCTAATTGTGTTAAACAAACAAATGCGTGTTCGGACTCGACGGAACTAAATTTGAGTAGAGATTTGACAAATATGTACATTCAGTATCACCAAGTATTTAAATTCGGTATGGACACACTCACTTTCAATTTGCTCATTTAATTTTACAAGAAAATCATTATTTCAAAGACATTGAAATCCACTCTAAGTTATACCATTTTTTAGATAGTTTAAAATTAAAGCCAGAACTGACGACAAAACAATAATTGCACGCCATGATTTCAAATATCCAATAGAATCGACAGTTTATGATAGAAATATTAAATTAGATAGGAAACATATTAACCGGTTCTCAAGCAGACGTTGTTAATGATCATTATATTATGTTAAATATTGTTTCTGTATCAAAATACATAAATCATCTAGCGAGTAATAGGTTTGACATTTTTATTGTAAATATAAAGTAAAGTATCAGCCTATACATGTCCCACTGCTGGGCAAAGGCCTCCTCTGTATCAGGGCATAGTCCACCACTCGGCCCACTGCGGATTGGCGGACTTCACATATCTTGGTAATTTTTTTTTTGTTATTATTTCGAAAATATGCAGGTTTCCTCACGATGTTTTCCTTCACCGCTGAGCACGTGATAAATTCGGCACTTAAAATTGACAATTTTATTGGTGCTGGCACCGGGGATCGAACTCAGGTTGCTCGAGTATATTGAATTAAAGGCGAGCGCCCGAACACTGAGCTGTCTCTCTGTCCCTAAAACTACGCAAAGGATCTTGATGCAGTTTTTTTTACTAGACAGAGTGATTCAAGAGGAAGTTTAATATGTATAATACGTTGCAACCGTTCGAAGCCGGGGTGGGTCGCTAGTCGAAGGTATAATCTTAACGACATTCATAGAAAAAGGTTGTGTTACAGGTTTTTTTTCTAAAATCCATCAGAGTTGAGAAAACAAATATTTTATCAGTAAGTTCAAGACTGTCACCGTAGTATTGACTATACACATACACTACACTATACACATACACATATGAGTCGACCAACAGCAACTCATATTATGAATTTTCTATTCTTTGGAAAATGGCTCATATTCGGCCTCCGAACATATTATACCTTATTAATCTAAGTAAGTAATTGAAATTAAATTTATACTTCTCAAGTGAAAATGACCACGTTACTCATATAAGATCCTAGCTTAAATCGTTACTATTCCACAAAGGCGAAATTCCAGAATTCTTCTTGTTTTGTTCTCTGTCATAAATGATCCATGTTCACCTTTTTAGATAAAGGATGTATTCCCGTATCTCTATATTCCAATAAATTTTGTGTCCAATAAGTTCTTCGATCTTCACTACATAGTATAAAACAAAGTCGTCCCGCTGTCTGTCTGTTTTTTTACTAGATATAGATTTTTTTACTGAATAGAGTGATTCAAGAGGAAGGTTTATATGTATACAAAAATCTAATTTTTCATATTTTTATGCATATGCATATATATTACTATACTTAACTATTGTGTACAAGTATCTACAAATTGCATATATAAAGAAATAGTAATCAAAACCGTGAAAATTTAGATAACAATACCTGTAATGTAAAAGCTACACCAGATTGTCCTTATAACGGTCGAGTCTTAGTCTGACTCTAAGTGGTAAATCTTGCTTCTATGAAATAAATCCATAAAGAAATGTATTTATTTATGTTGTACGACCGAAGGGCGTATTGGGTATTGTACCTGCCTCCTGTGCCAGAGGGTGTGAGTTCGATCCTCACTACTGGAAAAATATTGTGTGCTAAACATAGTATTTTTCCAGTGTCTGGGTGTTTATATATGTATAATATGTATAATATGTATTTATTTACAATATAAAAGAGTATTTAAGTATCATTATCTGTTATCTAGTACCATGATATGATACAAGCGTTGCTTAATTTGGGATTATTGAAAGTTGTGTAAAAATGTGTCCTAAAATATCAAATATCCTTAATCATAATCTGACGACCCGAATGGCGTATTGGGTAGTGTACCTGCCTTCTGCACCAGAGGGTGTGGGTTCGATCCCCACTACTGGAAAAATATTGTGTGATGAACATAGTATTTTTCTAGTGTCTGGGTGTTTATATATCTATAATATGTATTTATTTACAAAAGAAAAGTATGTTTAAGTATGTTTATCAGTTAGCTAGTACCCATAGTACAAGCGTTGCTTAGTTTGGGTCTAGAGAACGTGGTGTAAAAATGTGTCCTAAAAAAAATAATAATAAAAAATTAAACCTTAATAAGATCCTATCAGCGGCCAATATTTAATCGTTCCAATTACAAATGTCCGATAGCATGAATAAAAATTTTAAAAGCAAAGAGAGGTGAACTTTAAAACGCTGCTAAAACGGCCGTTAAAGTGATAAATGTCTTTTATTGAACTGTTAACGTCAAAAGAGATGTTGGTTGTAAACACTTAGTATTTATGGCGCCACAAATGTGTAGCGAAATCGATTGCATCGGCTTTACTTTTTTTTTTTTCAGTCATCCAGCGATTCTAACAAGCCCGTTTTATTTAAATATATCTTTTTGATTACATTATCACAAATTATTATTATGATGAATTATTATATATGAATTATATATATGTATGAATTTCACAAACGTTTTTAGCTAAATAAACTTTAAAACAGGACCATCGACTTAAATCGACCAGATTAAAAGAAAAAATAAGGTTTAGTATTTTTATATATTATTATTATTTTATATCTATTAGAAAATCTCTAAGCTATTGAAATCTGAATTAAATCTATATTAAATAGGATTTAAATAAGGATTTATGGTGCCTCTTTGTAAAGCATGTCAGCTTGTGTGGTATTTTGGAACCTTTATAATTTACCTCATAGCCACCACAATTCGTGCGGCTTTGTGATTGAAGAAGTTTTAAAGTTTCAAAGATTGAAATAAAAACAGTTTTATTTTTTTTTTGCAGTCCAAATATTATATTTTTATCATTTCAGCAAGAGCAAATAGGCCTATTAAGCCGTAAAATTAGTGAAAATAGTTTTAAGATTTTCCTTTAATCTTGAAATTACATAATAATAAAAATTGTTTGTCTATTGAATACGCAAGAAGTAAGAAAAACATCTAGTAATGGTAAACGATCTATGTCAACCCAAAACAATGTATACTCTTTAAGAAAAGATTTAAGCTAACACTTTATTAGCTGCTAACAATAAAAAGTCTTGAAATATCGTTGTTTACTAACACGTCTAAATTTTCAAAGGAATATTCGCGATTATTCATACTACGGCTTCTTTAAGCAACATCAAAGAATGATTACCACAAAGCATTGTTTGACAAGAATTCGACAAAAGGATATTTTCACACCGTGTTGAATATTACGTCCAAGTTACATTGCTTTGACTTGACTCCGTACTTTCACAGAGTAGCAGCTTTTTTGAGAGACTTTCGTTTGAGTAACCCTAATATCAACACTATTAAACTTAGAAGCTAAATCAAAAAAGACTAAGTTTATTGCCAGTGTATGAGTTATTGTCTTTAGCCTCATATTTAATGTCGTACTTTCTAACAATTTGATTCAGTATAGCCATATTATATAAATATGATTTATTAAATTATAAATTTTGCATAACGGTGCATTAACGGTCCCTGCAAGATACAACTCATTTGCGTGCTTATTTTATAGGAATTAAAAAATATAAATAAATTATGCAATTCAATCAATCATATCAATTTCCTTCTTTTGTCTTACTTACACTGTTTAATGACATATATACAATTAAAATCTCCTTTCGGCTAATTGCTAAGGTGTGATTGGGCAGGATGTATAAAAAAACGTTAAACTGATGGGACTTAAAAAGTCTGAAACAGACAGTCACAAAGCTCAAAATATAGAATGAGCACTTTTCTATAATGCGTGTTCACAAGGTTTTAATATAATTAAGGTGACGTTAATTCGCAGCTCTATGCCTGGTAAACTTTTTTTATAAGATAAAATCCTAATCCCAATTAATATATTACAAGCTAAGGCCCTCATTTGTATAATTCTTGTTTTGTTTACATCACATATTTTTTTACTTAAGGTGTACTATTGGTAGAAAAAGCTTTGTAGCTATGTGGGCTTGCATATCTTGTAATTTCGTCATCCTCGATAAGACCAAAGATATGTAGGTAGAGGAATTAAATCAAGATTATATAAACAACGCAAGTATATTTATCCGTTCTGCAACGCACGCTTTGATACTAGGATTTTTGTTTGTGAATCATATCTGAAAATTTGCAGCTGTTTCCTGTATAAAGTTGCATAAACTAAATCCATAATTAAGTTTATGCAATTTCCAATACGTCGTTGATGTTGTAATTGATTATTCTCGCTTGCTTCGGTAAAAAAGTTTAAAATAAAACGTCAACAAATTATATTCTAACTAGCTTTTCGCCCGCGGCTTGGCGCGCGATGAATCCCTTAA